ACCAATTATGCAAATTAGGCGATGAAGACATTTAGCGACTTCTAGCGACTTTTAGGACAACCAATAGCGATTTTCCTTACTGAGGAGTTGGCAACACTGGTCTCCTGTTCCTCACGTCCTAGGGGCATTGTTCAAGTTTGTGGCCTTTTAGAGCATTTTAGATGGTTTACTGTGAGGTACAGCCAGGAATTGACATTTGGGCTTTTGGAATAAGAATTGTAAGTAAATCTTAGCCCTAAAATTCAGTAGTGCCTCTAAAACTGTTGACATTACAAATTTGATAAAAACAGCCTTCTTTAAGGGCTATTTTTTAGCATTAATTTATCACATAGTTGGGATAGCAGGTTGATGAATGTGGGACTGAATTAAATGACGCATGTATATTTGGTGGTAATGATGAAACGCATCACCCAGTGCAACAATGCAGCTGTGACCTGCTCCACCTCCTGGGTGGCTGTAGCTCAGGAGGTAGAGCAGGTCACTTACTGATCGGAAGGTCGGTGGTTCGATCCCTGGCTCCTCCAGTCTGCATGTCAAGATACTAACCGCAACTTGCTCTCCGATGCATCCATCTGTGTATGAATGTCGTTAGAAAGCACTAAGTATAGATAAAGTGCTTGATTGGGTGAATGAGGCATGTTGTATAGCTTTGAGAGTCGAAAAGCACTATATAAGAATCAGTCCATTTACCATTTAGCCCTGTGGCAGAGCTAATCAGATTAGGCTTCGACTACACACATGTTGCTTCAGATTAATTGAACTTTGGGCTCTTTCACAGAATCTCGTTGCTAATACGACGTCTGTAATGTCAGCAAAATGATTCTCGTCTTGCTACCGTTCACACAAACAATGAGCGTTGCACTTTTCGGAGAAGGCACAGTGAATTTGAAGTTTTCCGATCTCCCGTTCTCTCCAGTTATCTGCTGTTTATTTCATCGTCTGGCGAGACAGCTTCCTGTCATTGCTAAAATCCACTGCTTTCGAGTGTCTGAACAAAACAGCTTGAAGCTTCCCCGGTGATGAAACACTCAGCCTCTTCCTCCTTCCTCCTCCCACTCATTTCCAATAACTCCCCCTTGGGACAGCTTTTATTCATCTCTGTTATTCATGTTCTTTTCTGCTTATTTTTTATGAACACTGTTGTTTTTTTCCCCGCCATCGTCCATCACGCTGTGTTTTAAAGCCATTTGGATTTTGTTATCAAATTCTCTTCTTTTTGTTTTGAAGCCACCGTTATTACAGCCCAGCTTCTTCTGTCATCTATCACCGCCGCACAAATTGTGTTTCTGCTGCATTTGTCAGTTGTGGCTTCATTTTATCACCTTGTTTAATTACCTTACTTCTATCTCTTACTGCAATGCAAACTAAATTAACCAAAGTAAACAGTACACGCCTGAAAGCCTGGAGGCGATTCAAGTGAATACATTTCGAAAATGGGCGTTTCTTGAAGTAAAAAAATGTATTACTAAAGAAAAATGTATATATCTGCCGATGCACAGGATGTGATGTAACTGTTTCTCCAAAAGGGCTGTTCACCTACGCTACACCCACACCACCCTGATATCAAACTCTGAGAAAAAAATCCACCTTCAGGCACGTTGTTGGCACATTATACATCATCAGCGTGTGATGCTCTGAAGGTTATTCTGTGAAATATTTGTCTAATTTTCTTTTTTGTTATACCTGAATCCTGTCATCCTCATCAGCTGCACTTAGCACTTGCTTGCATTTCCCAGCATGCCTCAGGAGAAACTTAAGAGAACAGCCGGTCGCAGGTTTTTCTGTGTAGGTGGACTCGGTGATGAGGAACATAGGAGCTGAGAAAAGTGCGAGTTTTGCAGCTTACTGAAAACACATCGTTTCCTTTGTTAAAGCTGCAGAAATACTGAATCTGTGTTTTTGTCCCTCACAGATGTCAGTGATGCTGTATTGAAACATGGTGCTGGAGTGTGTCACTCTGAAAAGACACTTTTTGAGATTTCACGGTCACATTCATCTCTCTTAAAAATAATAGGTTGTGGGGTGTGCACACTGTTAAGTCTAATTGTTGAACGTTGTCATTGTGCTTCTTAAATTTGTAAGGTCTGAGTTCAATCTATAGGATCAAGACATTCCTTTGTCTCTGACCACTTCTCCAGCCTCTCTGTGCTGGGGGAGGTTTTATTGCAGATACATTTTATCTGGAAGATCTGTTTCTTGTGTGGTCAGCTTCCTGCCCTTTTATGGCTTCACTGTGTTGTGCACGGTGAACCAATACAGGAATTGAACCATATATTGGGTGTGGGGGAGATTACCATTTTATGACTGAGGATGTTGTTAGAAACAGTTGGAAGTCACGCACACAGAGAGACACACACATTCTCACACACTCACTCACTCAAACACACACACACACACACACACACACACACACACACACACACACACACACACACACACACACACACACACATGCATACCGATGTGGGAGGTGCTTTTGCTGTGATGTGTATTGTGTGAACTGTTTTCCCAATAAAAGGCAGCAAGCAGAGGCCCGATTTAGGGTCATTTTGTGGTAGACACCGACGAGGCCTCCCTTGCAAGTAAATCGATCGATCGCTGACTGTCTTGTTTTCTTCATGATGAATAAGTCTCTAAACTAGCGGGGCTTGTGGAAACACAGACCCAACACACACAAATTCATCCAAACTGGTTGTTTGTTGGAAACTGGTGGAAACATTCAGCTCAGAAGCATCAGAGTGGGTTTGAAATAACACATAAAAAAAAACTAATCTGCCTTCCCAGAGAGGTGGATTTGTGGACTGATGGACTGAAATCACTTTCTTCACATCCAGAACAAACACAAAGTGTGAGGGTACTTGTGAGTGAAAGCAAATTGTCCCACTTCAGCAGAGCAGAATCCAGCTCCAGACTCCCATTCCTCTTTCAAGAGATCAAATTCAGATTGCCAGTGTGATTAAGTCCATCCTGAAGATCCACCACACTTCATTCATGTCAGTTTGGATGACAAAAGGCTCCAAGTGCTTTTTCATGTTTCATGATGCCTTTCTTTAGCTAACAATAACACATTTATATAGCTAATACAGCACAACACTGTTAATGATGATAATAATAATGTATACTTTATTGATCCCCGTGGGGAAATTTGTCTCTCTGCATTTAACCCATTCACCCAGTGAAGCAGTGGGCAGCCACCAATCAGGCGCCCGGGGAGCAGTGTGTAGGAACGGTACTTTGCTCAGGGGTACCTCAGAGTAGCCATTCAGTGGATTCGAACCCCTCACCTTCCAATCTTGGGGCGACCACAATTTCATTATTATTTCATATTACATTTTTTCCAAGTAAATCTCTGATTTTAAAAAAAAAACAAAAAGAAAAAATTCACATCTTGCACATCAAACTTGTCTCATTTCTAAGAGGCTGCGTTTAAATTTTTGGGAAGCGCATCTGTAACCGGAAGGTCGCTGGTTTGATCCCTGGGCTCTCTGTCCTGGTCGTTGTGTCCTTGGGCAAGACACTTCACCTACCGCCTACTGGTGTTGGCCAGAGGGGCCGATGGCGCGATATGGCAGCCTCGCTTCTGTCAGTCTGTCCCAGGGCAGCTGTGGCTACAACTGTAGCTACCTCCACCAGTGTGTGAATGTGAGAGTGGAATTGTTAAGCGCTTTGGGTGCCTTGAAAAGCGCTATATAAATGCAATCCATTATTATTATCTGTGACCTCAGCAAACACTTAAATAGATGCAGGGCGTGCTCTAGTATCCTATTGAGCATGAACGGGCTGTGGTTGTGGTTGTGGCTCAGCAGGTAGAGCAGGTGCAATAATCGGTATGGTGTGGTGTGAGTGGGTGAATGAGACATGTTGTAAAAAGTAGAACTATTTAAGAAGCGTCCATCCATTTACCATGAGAGGGCAGAACTCAGTTCTTCAGTCATTCCTCCTCTCACTCATCACATGGGGCTGCAACCACGATGTCAGGATCCAGAATTTTCAGTCCAAGGCTTCACAGCAAGACTGCATTTACTGGTTTACATTCACTGTCTACATAGATCACACATACACGTTTACTGTTTGAATGAGTGTAGTGGCAGACTTCTGGGGTTTGGTTTAAGCATCAAATGATCTTTGATCAAGTGTAGACACAGAGATTATTCTCAATTTGTCATATAAAGACTCTTTTTTTCATGCAGAGCAACAATAAAACACGACTCTGACATGCTGTCACGTAATGGACATGCGTGCACTTATATACATGACAGTAAGAGGTTTGCTATGTAAACTGAGTGTTTTCCATGAGAAACACTGAAAGAGTTAAGCTGTCTGATAATGGACATGTAATGGGCTTGTAACTTTAAAAGTAAGTGTTTGATCTGCAACACATTTGACATTTTTTCTTGAAAACTGACACAAATGATTAATTCTGAATAATAATATTAGCTGGTTACTGTTTGAGTAGTTCTTCTGGCTCCTAAATGCAAATATATAACAATAACAACTGTTTCAGGAAGAATTCAGGACTTCACATGTCCATTTGTAACCCTTCAAAATATTCTTTCTGCTTGACAATATTAATGAATTGTTATAGCTAATTGTCTTCAGCACAAACCTTTGAGTTATCAGTATTTTCATTTTTCATTTCGGATATTTGTCACTCTGTAAAACCACCGCTCGCTCCGCAGCTTCCCTTCGTCCTTTCTGTAGGTCCTGCTGAGGAATTTGGATGAAAGGAAAGGAGGCAGAGCAGCCTCGAAGGGAGGGCGAAAAAGAGAGAGGAAGAAGTGATAGAGGAAAAGAGGGAGGAGAAGTGACAGCAGGGACAGAAAATAGAGGCAAAGAATCTTTAGGAATACTAATGAATTAATGATGCAACGTGTTGACATTTTTCTCTTTCTTCTTTTTGTCCCTGCACTCTTTCCTTGTCTCATTTCAACCCCTCTCTTCAACTCTCCTCCTCCTCCTCCTCCTCCTCCTCCTCCCCCTCTTCCTCTGCGCTCCTGCAGGTAGGAGGGTGTCCTTGTTAGCTTGTCATCCTGTTGTAACCCTGAGGCCAGTGATGTGACTGGAATGTGAATTCATCATAAAAGGACCAACTCTACCTGAGGACTTCCTGCTTCCCCAAGAAACTCAGGTAAGTCGTACATAATGGAATATTTAATGTGATAATTCTCTGTGTGGTTTGACTGTATGTCTGGAAAAATTACAAGTGCTGAAAAGCAGCTTGGTAATTTTGGGGCTTAGTTTTTTTTAGAAGGTACGTCTCCAGTTATTTCATTCAGCTGAAAAGAGCCGATGCATAAGTGGGGAAAAGTGATCATGAACTAATACGTGGTTTATTTGAGACCAGTGCAGAGCGGCTTGTCTGCTTGGTGTGAGATGCTCATAATGTTTCTTATGCTGGGTTCTGGTGCTGGTACTCGCCGTCAGCCCGACCTGCCGTAGACCTTCTATGGCACCACTTTGGGCCGGCAACAAAAACGGGCTTTATTTTTTGTCCTTTCCTTTTTTGGGTCAATCAGGAGTGTCAGAATCAGAATATCATATTAATCCCTGAGGAAATCATATGCGTACAGCTAGGGCTGTGCGATATGACCAAAATCTCATCTCCCGATATACGAATTCTATCGCCCGATAACGATATAAATCACAAAAATGTAACATTTTCTGTAAATTCTGTGAATCTCGGGCAGCTCGACTTACGTGAAGTGTTTCCAGCTGCGCGTCATGTAGCTGCAGTCGAGTGTTTTAACCGATGCATGAAACGACACATTTTTAGACATAAGTTGTAAAGGCCGCCGTTTTCTTTGTATTTATTACACGGCGTGCTGCGGGGAAAAGCCTGTTCTAACGTTTGAGTCTAAGGTTTATTTTTTAGCACCTGACGGCTCTTTTTTAATTCTCATCCGTAAATAATCTGCTCTTTCACGTGATTCAGTTTATTTTGAAAAGTCTCAACAGGATCTTGAGCTTTATTGTGAAAGGCTTATGTGGAACGGTTATATAAAATATAAGAGAAAGAGAGAACTTTAAGAAATGAATATAGCCACTACAGTGACCATCAAAATGATGAAAAATACTGCCGTAAACAGTTTATTTTGCGACACCACGAAACAACCGATAGCGTAAAATGAAACGATAGACGTTTTTATATCGTCATCCGATATATATCGTTATATCGAACAGCCCTACGTACAGCTGTAATAGCTGGTGTGGTTGGTCTTGCTGGTGTAGCTAGATGGATTAGGTAGAAGTGCAAGTAGGCAGCGCACCACATGTCGTAGCCTTGTCTATGACATTTTTAGATGCCACCTTTTACTTGACTGTTCAGAGTCCAGAGTTCTGAATGGACAGACTTCAGGTGCCCCAGTCCCTTGGATATGCAGGCTCAGGCTGCTGTGATGCACTGATCCTTTCACTCTTTATGATGTCAGAAAGAGCAGATACCCTGATCTCAGGTCCGACTCTGGGTGGGAAAATTGAAGCTTGTAAGGGTCAGCCCGTCAGACGAAAACTGTGGGCAGGGAGCTAAAACAGCTTCTTTCAAATGTAGCGTGACCTGAGGGGACTGGTTCAGTCCTTTCTGTTGGTTTTCTTCCAGGAATATGTTTATAGTGTCTTTAACTGGACTGTGTGTGCAGCACAGCCGGTAATACTGTGAGTGTGTGTTTGTTGTCCTCATGTAAAAGGCCTCTCCATGTGTGTGAGCTCCATTCTGTCACATCATCATTACAAAACACATTATTATTAGAAATTACATAAAACATTACGTGCATCCTGATGCTAACAGATGTGTTTTTAACATAGTTACGAATAGTTACACCACTTACATTAAAAAAAATAAAAATAATGTAACTACTTTGAGTTCTTAATCAAAATCGTAGAACTTGATAGTTTTGATTACTTTGCAGTTACTTCTCTAACAAATATCTGAACCTGGGAAATAAAACAGGATTGTCCTTCAAAGTCTTGTGAGGTTTGAAATAAGGCATTTTAATGAAGACAGATTTCCAACATTGCAAAGGTTCTTTTGGGCCAACACAGCCACCTGCCTTGGCGCGGTCGGCTGGTTGCAGGCACGACAGACTTGGCTCGGTTGAAGGAATCACAAGAGGCTGTAGAAATTAAAGCAAAGAATGCCTTAGAAATGGAGTCTGTCTGGACGTATCGACAGCGCCTCGTGAGCCACTTTCCCCACAGCGCTGTTGCACTTAAATGTGTTCCAGCAGCTTTGCTGAATGGCACTGAGCAGAAATAAGCCAAAAGAAAGGATTTCTGTACATAATGAAAAAATGACGTGAAATTTACTGACAACAAAACACAAGGGGCGATTTTGACACATAAATTCTGTTTACTGAAGTGATGATCGGTTAATGTTCACCTGCCACTAAGAAGAATCTCTACAGAATAATCTACACACAAAGTGTGCTCAGGGCACAGATTATAAACCACCATTAAATATTGTTTAATAGCAATTTTCCATTGCTCTGTTTATCAGTGTGACATAATTCTATCTATTATTTTATTAATAATTTATTGACTCTGTCGTAAAGCTGTCTAACATAACATAATAGTCTTAAAGAATCATGTTGTTTGTGTCTGAGGGATACGATCCCCAGTAATGTTCACAGTATGTTTGTTCAGGTCACCTCTTACTAATACGAACACCACATGTGATAAATCTCTCCATAACCAGAGAAATTGTTGAATTTTCTACCTATGATTTGCACATTCATTCATTTGTTTGTTTGTTTTCTTATTAAATGTTTCATTTTAAAAGCTTGTTACTAAAAAGTAAATTACTGGGATTTCTAATTAGCCACATTTCGATTAGTAAAATGTTGTACTCTGTTACACATGCAAGCCATATTTCATGCTTCATTAAGTTAAATTAGCCCAACACACACCTCCATAATCCTTCTTCTCTTCTGTCATTACACCTTTATTCTGAAAGTCTCTGCAGCTATTTTATTCTGGGAAAAAATGTCCTGGTGAAAACATCCCACCGAGTCATTTAGCCAACTTATCCAGAGTGACTCACAATAGTATAAGCTGCAACAAATCGCAATCCCTGCATCATCCACACAGTGCAAGTGTCCAAGAAGAAAAGCTGTAAGAGGATTGCAGGGGTCAGAGCTGTACTGCACTCACAAAAATGGTATAAATTTTCCTGTCCATTAAAGAGATCTTGTACTGTATTACTGTAGCATCGGACAACATGAAATATGAGCTGAAAGAACAAATTCAGAACACGTGACACTTCTTCTTCCACAAGCTTCTTTAAGTAACAGAAAAAACTGCAAAGAAAATGCAATTTAAGAATCTTCTGTGGTCTCATTTGGGGTCGTCAAATATCCCTTATTCGCATTTTTTACAGTACTGTGCTGTCCCCATGATTTCATCAGGGGTTATTCTAGGTGGAAGACACTGTTGAATCAGTAAAGAAACTCACATTGTGTCTTTAAGTATGCAATGATATAATAACTGACTTTGCACTGATGAACCATGATGACCATCTGTCTCAGATGCTGTTGGCCCTCCAAGTCCCCAAACCGTTTTTGACCCACTGAGCCGCGGACTCTAATAACTCCAAGACGTCTGCAGCAGATTGTTAAAGTCTCATTGTGTCGCTCTGTTATCCTGATGAAAGACGTCACTGTCTTTGGGGGAAACCATTCCACTGAAAGCATGTGTTGTTGCAGACCAGGTGGCACATGAATACCTGAACACGGTGTTTCCCAGCACAACATTTCCCAGAGAGTCATGCCCCACCACCAGCCTTACTCCCTCACAGGGTGCTAGGACCATGTGACTCAGCAGGTCAGGTGACCTGCCGTTGCTTAAAGGAACAGTTCAGACCTTTTCGTGCCCACTGTAGGCGTTTTCCACGTTGAGCAGCGGTTACCAATGGGTCTCAACACATCCTTGTACATCATTCACATTTTGTGTCATTCTTGTGTTACAGCAGCCCCTCTCTCACCTTTGACCCATGCTGAGAGCTCTTGTTAGGGGCCAAAAACGTATTCACAGGGCTGTAGTTTGTATCGTTACGCTCACCACTTACCTTTCAGTTAATGAGATTCACCAGACCAGTCCTTCTGTTTCTCTCGCGTACACAAAGATGTTACTGTTCAGGTTTCATCTAATACAGGCCAGATTGTTGTTATGAGATAATCAGCTCTATATGCTTCATATCAGAGTAGTCGTAGTGTTTTGGATGAGTGTATTTAGTCCTAAAAGAAGTGATGCTCTCAGTGTCAGTGTTCTCGGTCTATCCCACCGGGCTGCTGCCCCCATGGCCTCATAATGTGTTTAATACGCAGGAACAGGAAGGTGGATGAACTGTGAATGTGGACTGATGAGCCTGATGACACATCAGGATGACGAGACAAGCGCTGCTCCCCATAGAACTATATCTATATATCAGTGTCATCTCCATCTGATTTGTGCAGAGCAGGGGGGATGAGAGGGAACAGCTTCACTCTCAGCCAATCACAGAGCGAGCATACACGAAGAAAGAACACAACATCCTCTCACAGAGTCAGTCGCTGGATTTTTTTCTATTTTCTACATTATTTCTTACAGCCATTTATCCAGAGTACCAGTGTTCACACACACACACACACACACACACACACACACACACACACACACACACACACACACACACACACACACACACACACACACACACACACACACACACACCCTAACTCTCAGCCTAAACCTAAATATATACTGTAACCTCAAAATGAGTCAAATGCCTTCAAACTCATGAGGACGGGCGTTTTCCCCCCATAAGTATAGTAGCATGCCAATTATCTGGCAAATATACAGATAAAAAATAGATTGCACTTTCCCCTCTCTGGATGCTAAAGCTACTGTATATGATGCTTTGTGTTTGTGGGGAACTTTGTAATATACCCTCTGGCTTTATTCTTTCATTGCTTCCTGGAGAATCCTTGACTGAACCTTGAATTTTTACAGCATGTATAAAAACATCCTTATTTGTGCTCATAATTCCATCCCAAGAGAAACTGTTATGGTCTAAAAATAAAATGAAAAAAAAAAATCAAAACTGTTTCTGTTTCAAAATAAAATGAGACCTGAAATTACAGACCTGGGCATATGCAG